TGTGATTGGTTAGTTGGGCCAGTGTGTGTTGTGATTGTTTAGCTGGGCCAGTGTGTGTTGTGATTGGTTAGCTGGGCCAGTGTGTGTTGTGATTGGTTAGCTGGGCCAGTGTGTGTTGTGATTGGTTAGCTGGGCCAGTGTGTGTTGTGATTGGTTAGCTGGGCCAGTGTGTGCTGTGATCGGTTAGCTGGGCCAGTGGGTGTTGTGATCGGTTAGCTGGGCCAGTGTGTGTTGTGATTGGTTAGCTGGGCCAGTGTGTGTTGTGATTGGTTAGCTGGGCCAGTGTGTGTTGTGATTGGTTAGCTGGGCCAATGTGTGAGCTTTGTAACTTTGCAGATCTTTTTTATGCTCAAACAGCAACATTACAGACTAACTAAAGTTGAAAAAGTGAAAAAGCATAATAGGACTCCTTAACAAACTTGGATATGAAACGGAGTATCTAGCGACAAGTGCTATTGTTGCCTGTGTCTTCATTAAAGCAGCACTGGTGAAGTTGTGTAATTTGACCAAATTTGAACATCCTACAACACTGAACATTTTCAGTGCTTGCTTTTAGCTTTAATGATAAAATCTGTCCCAAACATGGTTAAACATAGATTTCATCATTAGTGGTAGCTGTTTAAAAACATTTCTTATATTTTATTTTTATGACATTAATTGTATTAATATATTATTATTATTTTCCACAAGTATCTTACTACTCTGATTACTTAATTACTGATAATTACTGATTTCTTATTACTAATATACTGCTGAATCGCAGTTGGTGTTGCACAAAAATAGTCATTACTCTTACTAAACCTTCCATATACTTGCTATGTATACTTGCTATGCTTCCAGTATTCTTTCCAAATGTTTTTTTTACACTTTTTTCACCTTGCTGTCAGTAATCAGCATATCAAAACCACCAACAAAACGGCAAGATTTAAACTACAAAAAATATTAAAGACAGCTAATTTCTGTCTACATGTACATATAATTCTAGTCCAGCATGTAAAGACTAGTTTAAGTTCAATTAAAATATTACATTTTCATAAAATGTGTTACGTTTTCAGAGACACAGACTCAATAGAAATCGGTCTCAATGGAAACAGACTCTATAAACAACACTGACTTGTAACTTCAAACAATACTGACTTCATAGCATATTTAGTTTCCACGATAACACTTCTATGACACGGTTAGACATTCTGCTCTGCAGACAACACCACAAATGAACAATAAAAAAGCAAAATGCACTTTGAATCACACGTCTACACTGACTTTCTGCAGACTGTGGTGCTTGTATGTCCAATGTCACATGCTTTTTCATGTGGTCTCATTCTGAAGAGTCCCAGCACCTCGAGAGCCCGGCTCAGGGACTTCTCCTTCAGTAAGGTACTTCCAGAAATAAACATTTCCAGGAATCACGACAGAAGCCTCAGGCCTTGCCTATGCGCTCAGAAACGGTTTTAATAGGAACTCCTCGCCGTACCACCTTGACATGGATGAAGAGGGTGGCAGGAGAAAGACTAGAGCCGTCAGCTTTTAGCAGGTGAACATGACGATAACCTGGAGGACAACACAAACACAGGAATAAATCTATGTGAAAAATCTAGTTAAAGCAAGTGTTTGAAGTAATAGGTACCAAAATTACACCACAGATTATTATTATTCTTTTAAAGATGTCAGAACAATTTTGTCTCAGTGTTTTATGAAAATCTGGATTAATTCAATTGTGATTCGTGTCCTTCTTGAACTTCAGATCTAGGCCTTTTTTAACCATTACGTGCTCTAAGCCGCAGACTGAGAAGCAGATTTCCATCTCATTGATCTCTCAGTGAACTGGAAACTATTTTTCTTCAGAATGGTGCAAAATCCCACCGCACACAATTCTTGTACACAGGGTACTTGTATAACAACATTCCAAAAACTACTGGAGCTGTTTTGAAGGCAAAGGTTTGTGAGACTCTTCATTTTATAGATAATTCTGTTACAGTAGATTTCTCAAGCATGGTGTTCAAGCACTTTATATAATAGTTTATTTAAAAACATTAATTTATATTATTTACACTACCATTGAAAAGTTTGGGGTTGGTAAGTTTATTTTTTGTTTGTTTTTGAAAGAAGTCTCTTATGCTTATCAAGGCTGCATTTAAAGGGTTAGTTCACCCAAAAATGAAAATCAGGCTGCGTTTTACTCACCTCCGAGGCATCCTAGGTGTATATGACTTTCTTCTTTCAGACGAATCCAGTCGGAGTTATATTAAAAATTAGGGATGCACCGATACTGAGCTCCTGTACTCATACTTGTTAAAATGCCCCGATAGCAAACGCCGATACTACAGCATGTGATCAGTGCCATATTCAGACAAAGAAACAGACAACAGAACAACAGACAGCAGAATGGAGTTATTAGAGATTAAGGATGTCTACGAAGTATATGTATGCAATTAATATAATGTTAAACATTCAGTATTAATGCCTGCATAGGTGACGTGCGCGAGCTGATAAGCAAAACACGCTGAGTGGATTGAGTGCCTGGCGGCGCAGATGCGCGAGCTTGTCGAGTGAATATACCTTTCTCACAGACATCACTGGAAAGTTTGTAGTTCGGTCGGATA